CAAGCCCTTTTTACTTCCAAAGCTCGCATGATATCGTGCATAGAGATAGCCCCGACGATAGGTCCGTCTATCTTGCCCCTCTGTCGAATCATTTTGAGGAAGTCTCCTTCTGATACTTGGGCTACCTGTTCAACCTGGACGTGGGAAATTCGGTCCCTAATACTGGCTTGTGAGAATTGCTCGTACCAACCACTCACTCGAACTACCATTCCATGTTTTCTGTTTCCAATACGCAATGATCTTCGCTTTGACGAGTATACTACATCGTTAAACTCCATCTATGGCTTCCCTAATATCATAGGATACGCTAAATTTGGCATAACATAACCCCAGATTTGCTCTTGTCTACCATCTATGTCCAATTTCATGCGCGCAATCCGCGATATTCTATTTGCTTTAGTTCCGTCTGCCAACCGCAAATGACACAGGGAAATATTTTCGGAATACAAATCATACTTGCGCACAAGGTTCTAGTCGATTACAGAAAAACAAAGGCAGCCAGTATCAACCAAAGCTTTAATGAAAAATGATCCGTTAATTAAACCATCTATTAACAATGGTGGGCTATTCAAATTTTCTAAGTTTTTCTGAGCTGTGCCAATTCTCGACAATTCCTTATTTTCCCATACGGAGCTTTCAGACTTTTCTTGATCAAACTCTGCTGAAGTGACACCTATTTGAGAACTCTTTGCTAGTCGATATTTTGGACATCTCTGTCCCATATGCCCAGTTTTTTTACAGTGGAAACAGATCTCTTTGATAGAAAGTTTGTTGAGGGCGTTTTTGCTGCGCCGAGGTGCTCTAGGCCTATCATCTGACTTGATTATATCCCTATTGACCTGGCCCTGCTGATTTGAAATTTTTCTCAGTGACTTCAATTCCTGCATGGCAGCAGCCAGAAGTGCGCTAGTTCCTGTCATAACTTTACTGCCATGCTCATCCAATTCTACTCTGGTTTCATCTGACAAATTTAGAGTGCTACCACTATTAGGTGTTCCGAGATAGGTTTCTGTTTGTGTTGCATAATTTGATCAATACTCTGTCAATGCTTCCAGCTTAGCTGCTACCTTTCTAACCTTAGTCACTCACTCCTTCTAATTACTCGTGGAGGGAAGATCAATAGATACCAGGTGTAACGGCTAAGAAGCCGGTATTTTCCTGTAGCCAGTAATGGCAAGTACTGGCGTATAACCACCAGGGGGGTGGGCCGGCGCAATAGCCTTGCAGAACATACCAGAACCACTGTCGAAGGTACTAGATAAGATTCGACATGAACAAGACTGTAACTGAAACTTGGAGAAGCTACTAGAAACCATATTCTCAGATTTGCAACTGGAATTATTTAGAAATGAACTGACCTTAGATGGAAGGGCTTGGAGTGTAGTAATCTGTATAAATACCTGGCTAAGTATCTGTAGCTTAGTTCTACATAATTGAATTGTTAATATACCATCATCCATACAAATGCTCCTTGCTTTCTATAGCTGATCTGTGACACCAGGGCTCGGCGTAAGTGCACATTCAGAGATGGATTTAACTGTGTTGTCTTTCCCGACAAGGTAAATAGTGTTGTGATCTAACGCTGTTCAAATCTGCGGACTTCGTGGTGAGCAGTTATACTACCTCACGTGATAGAACATGGGAGTGAAGTAAAAGAGTGGTCAACCCACTAGCCAGATCTAAGCGATTACTGGCACACATAGAACTGTAACACATTCTTTGTAGATAGAACAATAACATAATTATCATCAGTGATTAAATTAATCCCCACACAATTGAGACCCATTGAAGTGCCAACTTTCATACCACCCTCAACTGTATTGTCGCAATCGCATCCATAACAAGCCACCATTGCAACTCAGAGCATACTCTCAAACTGTGATCAACTACACCACCAGGTTTAGCATAAATCGCAATAAATAGGTCCCTACACAAAGCCATCCGGTATTCGAAATCTTTGAGGAAGTCTTGAAAAAGCTGGTTATATCCCTGTTCCATGTGATGAATCATTTCTATGGCAGCCTGACAAGCCTGGTTATCTTGAAATTGTATGCAAAGATGATCTATAAACTCTCGCCGGTCGAATATTCCATTGTCTACAGAATCTTTAAACCAAGCAGCGACCCGTGGCATCTTTTCTTCCGGAAGAGTGTCTATGATGTCCAAGCAGATTGTGCTGGCATCTATTCCAAGCGCTTCTTCCCTTTCTATTCTCACCATCAGTCATTGAACATAAAATTCAAAGTCTTCTTGTCTGCCATTCCACTTTGGTAATACCGCTCGTGACGTTGACATAACGGGACTTGCGCCTGTAGATAATATGTGAACATCCTTTCCATTCAATTTTGCTGGACTTAGGGTGGACTCTCGGGCACGTCTCTCTCTCATGAGAATTGCCATTTCGTGGCGCTCGAACTCAGGGATTTCGGCCCATGAATCTGCAACTATCGACCATTCCATTACTGGGTTGCCGTTGTGGTGTTCTGAGTTCAGCAAATACAACTCTAGATTAGAGTAATAAAGGTTGTTAAACTTTGTGTCAAGGGGAACTATTTCACCTACTCATGTAAACTAAGCTATTCAGGTCACATGACCTGACTATCAGTACATAGACTTCATCTGCAGCATTACGGCTATCAAGTCAACATTTACAACGTAATACCGTGGCCCATGTATCTTTCTTAAGACTTTGTGACATCCGATTTTCGCTCAATTGGGTTTATAATGGCCTAGAATAATTCTCCGGGCTACACCCCACAGAGAGATTAAAAAGAATTATGATAGAAAATATATGTGACGGGCTAGGACTTTCGGCCAATGCACAAAAGCAATACCACAATTAAATGTTTATATTTTCTATGAGGAAATTACGAGCGCGAAGCTATGGCTTTTTATAACTATAATGCCTGTTCCAGATACCCTTGCCCTTTACACGTGACCTGATAATACTTCTGTATAGTGAGAAGATTTACAAACTCGCTTGAGCCTTCAAGATAAGGATGGGCCCTATGGCCTTAAACAGCCCAGCCAGAACCCAGCCGGGCCTAGCCCCTAACAACCGGAGCTTATTTCTAGAAAGCTATACTAGAGCGCAACTAATTCATCATCTTTGCCCGTTGGTAGCCACGTTACATTTTCCAAACAATACACTAGTTCGCATTCATTTTCTGCAGTGGGCAATACTGTTACGCCTCCAACCCCCATAAAGGTCGGTGCAATAGTAACAATGATACTAGTGAGGAGATGCCGACTCTTCTGCTTAAGAATATCATTGATGACAGTGGCGCCTCTTTCAACCATGATTCTTTTAATTGCCAATTCATTCATCTTGGACAAGTCATTTAGTCTATACCTCTAGCACTTCCTCTATATCCAGATCTGCCCAAGAACTGGCCGCCCTGCTTAGTGACATGTGTGAGCCTTGTGAGTTCTATAGCAATGGCTGCTTCAGCCACAATCAAAGATGCAATTCCTCTCCCTTCCTGCTCGGGCTGTGAGAAATTCTCTCGGCCATCCCACTTGGTTAGCCAGCGTCCCGAGGGATCTGGAGTAAAAGGCCAAAACTTAGAGGCAAGGCCACTAACAGTTCCTTCACATCTTTTTTATGTCATATCATGAATAATTAGCTAGCTAGCTATTACATATGATAGGTGCTATGTATAATGTTGAATGAGAGTTTGGACCTTAGAGACACTCATACTTTATAATTCGTTCTCAAAAAATTGCTTACAGGTATGTTTATGATGGCTATAAGCAATGCAGAAGCTTTACTAAGGGGTTGTGAGGGAGCAGATAATGTTGTTATTTTAACGCTACAGTTAATTAACTCATACATATTATCTGGTGAGGGTATGAAGAGAATGTAGAGATTGATTTCTAAGTGATTTTATCTAGGGTAAACCTAGGAGGTTTTATACATGCTCGCTTAACTGATACGCCAGAGATATTGCCCTGTGGCCTATGGCCTCACGCGATGCCCTAATCCCGGCTACTCTGCAGTCGCGTGTTACAACAATGTTCGCTTATACGAACAGCCAACCCTCCACAAAAACCCACAAAAAAAATCCAATAACTTGATGATTTCAGTGCACCTCCGTCTCTCACGAATTCATGCACCGCGATAAATGTGGTTGTACATAACAGGATTAGAGCCAGCTATCTCTTGTCTCAAACAGGGCAGGGCTTCAAGTTATCAATACTCTTTTCAGAGATGAGCCGGAACGATATACCCACACAGCATACAACCACAACTACGTTGAAATTGTATTCGACTCTCTCTCTAATGTAGACGTGGAGCACACAATCCTCTTCGACGGAAATAGGTTATCACAATGGAGGTTTGCCTCGTTCGATAATATTTTAACTCTTGGCATATAACTGCCTATAAATTCTCACCTCTCTCATGACTAAAGCGCGTATCTGCATTGCCAGATCCGTACACCATAAATTTGGTGCTTCTCTGAGTGTTCGAATTTTCGTGAGCGCACATTTTGAGGCCGGATGAGGCTATGTATCCAGTCTACGAGAGATATGATCATTGAAGTGACTATACACCAGCTCATACTTGTAGACTATAAAAGGCTCTGGTCAAAATTGATTCTGTTGGGGGTGAATATTTGGAGTGGCAGTGATTCTTGGATCATTGCCTCGTTGGCCAACTTCCTCAGTGTTGCGAACTCTAACTAAACTCGGTTGGGGGAGAAGTTTTCACTTCTTGGTCTGTAGAGGGCACCGTCGACAGATATTAAGTATCCGTCTTTTAAGAAACGATGTTTGCTAGCAGGATTATCTATTTCCTCCAAGGCGTAAGGCTCCAATCTTTGGTATCGTTCGTTTCCTATCGTAGTTAGAGTGAAAACCTTTATCGGAGCTCCGCTATTTGATGCCCCGCTCTACTCAACTGTAATTGTTATCAGGTAGAGTCATAAATTAAGTAATATCGACAGGTGATCAATTTTTCTCCGAATTACTTATCCTCACAAGATTTAATCTAATCAATCATGCTTGATATCTTTGATTTTATTGTTGAGAAAGGAGGTGATCCTCAAAAGATTAAGGATTCGCAGCGAAAGAGATTCGCTCCTGAAGAAGCGGTTGATGAGGTTATAGCTCTCTATGAAGACCACCGTACAAGTGAGTAAAATCTTGAAAATTACACAGATAAGTCCTAAGCCCTTAATTTAAATAGCCCAGTATGCGGCTACTCAGATCAATACCAAGATCAACGAGATTCAAAAGCAGATAGGCGTCAAACGTAAAGCGAGAGAAAATGCGGATGAGCTAATGAAGCAGAAGTTAAAGCTTGAAACAGATAAGAAAGAAGCTCTAGAGAATGCTGCAGGGAAAGAACTCATTCTAAAGAAAAAAATAAGTACAATCGGAAACTTGGTGCATAATAGCGTACCTGTTAATAATGATGAAGTACTATGATTAGCATGACAATTATTTATCTAGTATATGGCTGATTTGTATAGGACTTCAATATAATACAAAAGATCTGGGCCCCCGAAGGAATAGATGCTGTGAAGCGCGACGTGCTATCTCATCACGAGGTCCTTACAAGACTGGATGGATACGACCCAGAGCGAGGAGTTAAAGTTGTCGGTCATCGAGGCTATTTCCTTAAAAAATGGGGGGTCTTTTTAAATCAAGCACTCATCAATTACAGTCTTGAATTTCTAGACTCCAAGGACTATATTCCCCTCCAGACACCACAATTCATGTCCAAAGATTATATGGCTAAAACAGCTCAGCTAGAGCAGTTTGATGAGGAGCTATATAAGGTATCCGATGGAGACCCAAAAAACGATAAATATCTTATTGCTACTAGCGAGCAGCCAATATCAGCCTTTCATGCCGATGAGTGGCTTGTTGGGAAAGATCTACCCATCAGATACGCCGGGTTTAGTTCCTGCTACCGAAGAGAAGCTGGCTCACATGGCCGAGACGCATGGGGAATTTTTCGAGTGCATCAGTTCGAAAAAGTATACCAGATTGGAACGCAATTTATGAGAAGAAAGGGCTAACAAGATAATAGATTGAACAATTCGTTCTCACAGATCCAGAAAAGTCCTGGGATACATTTGATGACATGATTTCGATCTCAGAAGAGTTCTATCAGAGCCTTGGTGTTCCATATCGAGTTGTCTCAATCGTCTCTGGGGCTCTTAACAATGCAGCAGCAAAGAAATACGATCTAGAGGCATGGTTTCCATTTCAGGGAGAATATAAAGAACTGGTTTCCTGCTCTAACTGCACTGATTATCAATCTCGTGCCTTGGAGATTCGATTTGGTACAAAGTTACAGTCTGAGATTAGAAAAAAGTATGTCCACGCCTTAAACTCAACTTTATGTGCAACTGAAAGGGCAATGTGTTGCTTACTCGAGAATTTTCAAACTGAAGAGGTAAAATTCCATTACAGTTTTTAAGAGTTAAACTGATTAGCTCTTAATTTTAGGGCTTCAATGTTCCAGAACCTCTACGAAAGTATTTACCGGGTGCTGTTGATTTTATTCCATTTACAAAAGATTTACCCAAAGATTCAACATCCCAAAAGGTAAAAGTAAAGACTGAAAAGTCTTGTAATTCTAGCACTTCACCGAACACCCCTGAAACTGCTCCGCCTGCTAAATAGAGAAATTAAATCATACATCATGTAGCTTATGAAAAATTAATGTGACTGATACCAAATAATACCAAAAGCTATTCGCCACACTATCTCTCAATATACCCTTTGCTCATAAAATACTATATTTCAATCTAGCAATACTCCTGGTGGGGCAAGTTTGCCTCAGATAACCTTACGAATAATCAAGAAATGTGAAATCATCTTTGTCTGTAACATTTTGATTATCAGAATTTTTTCACAATATATATTACTCAATAAGTAAACATCGCGTATGGCGTGTATCACTAGAAAATTTGGTTATATAATATCTGTGAGACTTTACACATAAAATTTGTTTCTATCTAGTTCAAGATGCTAGGCCCTGGATCTTTGGCTGCGATGAATTTTGTCCGCCCTTGGTTCATTGTCCAAACTAAATAGAGGGATGCTACTGGATTGGTTATATCTCAAGTTTGTGAGAATTAAAAGTGTAGACAATTGGGAGCATGTCGCTTGACGTTGCTCCTGTCCTCACAACTTTGGCTTTACGATTACCTAACGTCCTGCTGGCGCATAACGTCAAGGACCTAGTGTGGATCCTTAAAATATCAACATAGTCATGGGCTGATCAGATTCTGAATGTATGGCGCATAGACAAGCTGCTAATACCTACCAATTTCACACGATCAGATTGCACGGTCGGAGGGCAAGGCTGAACACCTGTACGCGGTGTCCTCTACGAACCTGGGAGTGAAATATTCTCCCAGAGCCAAGTTCAGTCAAATTTCGCAATATCAAAGATGTTGGCCCACGAGGAAAAAATTCAAATTACTCCACCATGTCAATCTTTCACTCCCAAAGAGTCCGAATCCTATCCAAGCCTCATCAAGTCTACAAGTACGACCTAGTACATCCTCATCCCAATGACCACACCTCTCGTCGACTTTTTCTGGCCTCAGTTGACCACCAAATACACGCCCACGCCGATATTTACACCCGCTGGAGGAAGCAAAGCGTGGCGCACAAATCTGGAAGATAGTTCTTTGGGATGGACGTGAGAAGGATCAGGACATGTTGATAAGATGATGCAGAGGATGGATACATACTTGACGGGCGTGAAATTTCGAATTTTGACATTGAGCTTTTACAAATTGAGCTTTGTGCATGCCCAGGCTTCGGTTGCGAGAGTGCAGGCGACACTATAAACATCGCCATGGTTGGATGGTGCGGTGGTACATCGTCTTGGCCGGTCTGCCAAGTTGAGTCTAGATAGCTTGGACACATATCCCACTTGAGACAGTAGATCGCTGGTTCAAATCCAGCAAAACACAACCACATTTCTCGCGGCGCTGGTTTGCATGGATGACGAAGTGTTAAGCAAAATTTTACTAATATGAATCTCTCTCGGAGTTGATTGAATTGATTGTCCTCTACCATGAGGAATCTATCTAGGTACTATATACATCTTGAGTATCCTACTAATTCCAAATATAGGCTGACTATTAGATTGCCCATGCGAACTGCTCAAATCTCCGTTCCATACATGGTTCTGAAATTGGCTGTTACATTATTATGGGCAATAGAGAAAGTGAAACAACAAGGGAGTTGTGCATATGAAATTGGCCATCCGTCTAGTCGCTAGTTGAAACATTTGCATGACTAAGTTATTGCCCTTGATGCATCAGCCTAGCTTACTTGCTTGTAAATTACTCAACTTAGACATCATGATACAATATTTAAATTTAGGGTAATCTGTTTGACACGAAGGCATGCTTGGGTAACCAAAGGTTTTGAAATTCCCTTTGGTTGGTACTTGCGGAGGAGAGTTGACTGTTTGTGTAAGCGAACATACCTCATAGTGGTATTTGCAAATGAAATCCAGAGTATGAGTGTCTCTAACGTCAAAAGAGTCATCCAAAATGTATACACAGCACCGATCATGTGTCATAGCTAGATAGCAGAATACACATAAAATGATTTAAAAAAAGAGCAGATCTCACTGGAGTTGATTGGTAATAGAGGATTGATGTATGTAGGCGCATAGATATCCTACATTTAGGAAGATAGACAGAATTCAAGTATTAGTCTCCAGCTCTACACAAGATCTAGAGGGAATTTTCTCAACACCTATCAGTGGTATCCCCTACGAACCTCCAGCTGTCACTTTAGAGTCTACAGAACCGAGATTGAGTAACAAAGTCCTCACTTCAACGAGGATTCCCAATCGCTTGTGCGGTCTGTATTGTCTTCATCTCTCAACACATTCCCCTATCACCATTATCATGAAGCTAACCACGATCAGATCAGATGGTAGGGTCGGAGCTCTACTCATCACCAACCCTTGATCATGGAGGAGATGCCATCCGATGAGTTTCCGGAGCGTACCCAGCACCCGATACGGCGATGGTGGATTGGATCAAGTCGGCCTCGAACGTTGCAAAGAAGGGAGATATAGACGAATATGTGCACTTCATGTAGTCCCGGTGTCTAGACCTCGCCTGGCTGGGGCTGTAGGTTTTTTGAGACTTTTTCCCGCAGGCGCAGTTTCCATTGCTACCATTTTTATTTTTTTGGGTAGAAGGTTCCGTGGAAAAGGTGGCTGAATTCTATAGGTAAACACTGAGCTGAATGGCTATTCATCAAAGGCAATATATCGACGATCTTTCAAGTGACATAAGAGGTTAGGAGCACTGTACAAGGTGTGGCCTGGGTAAGAGAAGTGCCCAATGTGCTAGATTGTCAAGACTCAAGCAGTACAATAAATCCACCTCTCTCTCTACAAAAGACCCGATATTTTCAGGCAATGAGATACTATGTGTAAAACTTAGAGAGGTCTTCGTGCGAATGTCACGTGAATCGTCAAAAGGTAAAAGCGAATACAAGAATGAATTGATTAATTAACTCCGTGCTACGAGTCCATCGTAGCACTATAATATCTAGTTCTACCCTATTGATGCCCCTGATCATCATTACTAGTCTGACATGCCTGCACGTAGATCGTGCTTTCGCTTTTGGACTGGATCCAGACTTATGCAAGCACAAGTCTGCTTACACGCCCTCTCAGTCCTAAAGTGAAGATCCGTCCATAAATCCTAGTTACTCAGGTGAGTGTCAGAATGAATCTTCATTGGAGTCATCTTCTTCAGTCCGACTACAACCCGCAGTCAGTACTATAGCTCTATGCTTGTCCGGTCTCACGTTTGATTCGCGTTCCTTCTTCGACGCCAATTTCGATGTCCATTTCGATTTTCCAAGACGCCCTCTATCCTTCATGGCTTTTCGGGATACGGCCTTACAGGTTCCTTGGGATGAACAGCCTTGGGTTTTCTGGCTGCGAGCCACTGTCCACTTGCGTCTTTCGTTCTCTTTAATCGCCTCGAAAGACAAAACTTTATCAATTTTACGCAGAGCTATTCCTATCTTCTTACCCAAATCCGGCGAAGCGTTTGAATCTATCATCTGCTGATTCTCGTAGGGCCGCTCGATGGTGCGCTTAGGACGACCACGCCCTCTTGGCAATATTGGCTGCTGATCGTCATCCTGGGGAGTGTTGTAATCCTCATTTCTTGCATAGTCTTTCTTTCTAGATTTAAGCCTATCCTGAACATGCTTAGGGAGCGATCGAACAATTTCTCTTGGGTCTGCTGCCCAGCCAAAGCCTGGGCCGATATTTTCGTACGCCGTTACTTGAGGCGACACGATAAATCTTCCACCGTCAAGTAACCAAACAAGTTTGTTCTTTCTTCCTCTGTAGCCGAGGAAGACACTTTTTGTGCCGTTGGCATCAAGTTTTTCGCTCGCAACACGGTGATTTTCGTCGACGTGGGTGATGCATAAGGTTCCTGGTATCCACAAGTGATCCACTTTGGTTTTTGCGCAATCAGGTTCAATCTGTGACCAATATACTTCCCATGGCGTCTTCTTGTCTTCTACTGAACTTTGAGATGTACAGTTTAAGGTGTAGCACACCATTTCCAACATATGGTTCCAGAAAATCGATGGAACTTTCATTTGAATGCTGCAACATCGTGCTGCGTCCTGCACGAAGCGGATTCCTCTCTCTGATACACCATTCTGATACTGGTTATTTGGTGCGGAGATGATCACATCAATTTCTTCTTTTGCAGCAAAGTCTTGGAGAGTGTTTAGACCCCAATCACGACCCCCATCAATCGTTAGGCGTTTCACCCTAAGTCCATGGCGCTGTCTCAGTTCGGAGTTTGTTTTCGACAGAATTGACTTTAGCTCGTCAGCGGCGTCGCTCTTTTTTTTCAAGGCCCGGAATATTCTGTACCTCGAAACGTCATCTGTCGTGAGGCAGAAGTATCCGTAGCCCTCCATTGTGACCGGATTTAAGGTTCCTACATCGCAATGCCAACTTTCACCGACGTTTCTCATTCTAGGTCGTCTATCGCATGTTTTATATTTTATTGATTTGCCCATGTCGCACGCTTCGCATGGCAAATTTTCAACTTGTGATGGCAGAAGGTCGATACCAACTGTATTTTTAATCGTCCATTTGAGTCGTTCAGCGCTGGGGTGGCATAAGCGCCTATGCCATAGGATCAGGCGTTTCATCACGTCATTGGTCATGTTGAAAACACCACTCTTCCAACAATCTTGATAGGCCTCTGTAAATTCCTTTACCTCAGGGTCTCGTTCGGAGGTTTCTTTTTCACTTTGATGAATACTATCCACCGAGGTGAGGTTCACTGCCTTTTTGTAGCCTGTCAACTTTAACGGTTCTGGATGGTTAAACAACCACAAGAAAAATCCTCGACGTTCCGCGTTTATATAAGACAGGACTTTGCCATTAGGGCTCACTATCTTATTTTTATCCAGGTAACCACCACTTCGGTAGAATCGTTCTCCACTGATGATATTTAGAGGGAATACCTTCAAGTATACCACGTGCTTCAACCTCATTGAAGTTTGGTTGCCGCCAGGCCCGGTGAGTGATAGCCAAATTTCTCCGATGCATTCCGCGCATACAATTCCACCTCCAGTCTGAATTGGGAATTGGTTAG